TATTGCAAGATTTGTATAATGCATGTCTCTCGTTGGCCGACCATTACTGTCGAGAAATTGCAAAGAACCGTCATTCCTTTCAATACTCCTCCCCAATCCCACCCTTGAGTTTTGACGGTAACAGTCAGTTTGATGGAGGAATAGCTGGCGAAGCCATTGATTCTGATGCTGAGAGCTCACTGTCATTTCAGCCACATTCGGTGGAAGCCAAACAGATCGATCCTGATATGATCATAGCAGACTTGGTTTTGAGGAACGTCGACTGTGAGTTCATTCTGAATGAGCTTAGCATAGTGGAGAACCGGTGGAGTGAAACGGTGAGAAAGTTAGAGCTGCTGCAGAATTTGTTGGAGGTACTGGAATCAGAAAGGGTAATTCTTCTGAATGATAATGCGACATTGGAATACAGAGTGACGTCGTTATTGGAAGAGAACAAAGGGCTGGCTTCTGAATCATTGTTTCTGAAGAGAAAGGCGTCTGAGCTTGCTCGATGTGTGTTGAAGATGAGGGAGGATCACAGGGTGTGGATGCTGAATCAGAAAATTGAGGATCTTCAAGAACAAATATATGGGTTGGAAAAGAGAAACAAGGAGTATCATGAGTATTTTGTTAAACAAGACAAGACCACGAGCACGGAGGGTAAGGGTGGAAAACAGGTGAGTTTGGAAGACTGCCTTCAGGTTCATCATGGTGGCGGTGCTCGTCTGAGGAAATGCTTTAGTGCCAACCTTGAAAAGGATGAACAAAGTCCAAACGGTAGGGATGAAGGAGGAAGGGTTTCGAAGATGTGGGCTAGGATCAAGAAGTTCGATTTGTTAGTCTGTGGTCCTCGTGGTCCTCATCTCTACCCTTCCTACTGCTAAGCAAAATAATACAACAATTAGAAATGAGGATATAGTTTATTCTAGTACTGCTTTAGTGATATTCTTCATTCAGTTTACCTAATTCCAGAACTAATTTGGTAATTATGAGTTGAAAATTGCAAAATTATTTGCTTCCTATATTACTTTAACGTTTTAATTCCAATGTTACAATTTACATAAGACTGGAAAAATGAAAATAGTGAACTCCCAATCCTACTGACTGCCACCAGATGAGGTCTAATTATGACAACATTTTCTACAGAAGATAATAACTTCGATGAAGATAATGATCCTCCGAACACTTGCAGTACGTACCAATTGCCGAATGTAATCTGTGCTAACTTTGCTGCCGCATTCCTCTTATATCACCACTGGTACACTAGCAACTGATGCTCCACGGAAGTGATTCTACCACCTACAACTACAATGGAGATCAAAGAGAGGCTGAGATTGACATTTCAAGAGATGTTAAGACACCATTAAATATTATAGTAGGGTAACTTATCTACGAAGTGTTTACTATTTTCACATGCAAGTAGCATTGTTTCTAAAGGAGTCCTGTACTTGATCAATTTAATACAAGGACAGTCAATGAACACTGAGAAATGGTGATAACTAATCTACCTTTAGTTCCATTACAATTCTTTGACACGAGCAACGCCAAACATAACATCAAGTCAACCCAAATTTGCAGGAAATACTTTCTCCTGAAGCTTTGCAATTCGAGCCTGAAACAAAAATGATGGTTACTAAGTTCAACTTCTTAGACATGGCTGATAAAGAAGAAAGGCCTTTCACAACATTCATTAATATGAATTTAGAAAATGGAAAACCCTCGTGCAAACTCCATTAATATGAATATAGAAATAATACATGTGCTCGTAAAATTAACTTCAAGAGCAAAACAAAGCCAGCTCTAAGGCTTGTTTTGCCGTATGGCATTCAGTTTTTAGCAATCCACTTGATAGTTTATTTCCTCTTGATTTGTCGATATCGTAAGTACATGTATGATGATATTAAAAATTGATAAACTAGTATGCTTCAATTCACACCAGACAAAATTTAAATAGGTAGTGCAGATTCCTTAGCTTGGAGCAAAATATATATATATATATCCACCAATTCTGCAGATTAGGTCCAATTTCTATTTGATGCAGGAAAGATTACTGTTACTTCAGTTGGGCTCTCTCACCTTCTACAGATTATTATTTGAATCCTATAATCACATCAAAAGGAGCATGCATATCAGACCTGTCCAAGCTAAATCCAATGTTTGATAAGATTTGTGAATGCGGACAATACCTTGAACGATTTGGAGCGACAGATTGAGGGCTCTAATTCTGAAGCCATTGAATAGGACTCCTCCGCTGCTTCAAATTGATCCATAGCCATTAAAGCATCAGCATGGCAAACATAACCCTGTAATTCAAAATTGATAAACATATAGACAATGACACTGAAATTGAAAATCTAGGTTCATACATCACAATCATGTGATCAATTGACAAACTTACAAACACATATATGATGAACATGCGTGAATGTGTTTGCTCTTGAAGCTCATACAGTCCAAGGAGATATTTGCATGCTTGGGGGGCTTAATTTTCTTGCAAATGCCTAATGTATGTATTGGATCTCAGGAAAATAATTAAAAAACCTAACTACTTTTCCGACAACTAACATGAATATTATATCATATGACCATGAACTAATACTTTTACTTCTCTCAACGACTAATCGTCTACATTTAGGGATCAGGAAATTGCTCAAGCTTTATATCATCTTCCAAGGTAAAACACCAATCAGCATTCATGTGCAAACCCTGTAAGTTTACAGTTTATCAATTATCACAAGTCCGCAGATAAAAAGGAATTCTAGATGCCATGTTCTTTGCAGCTTGAGTGGATGGCTTTTCTGTATTTGAATATTCATAACAATTAAACTCACTTCATGATAGTTAGGGGCATGAGTCAAAGCCTTTGTAGCATCTTCAAGCGCCCCAGCTGTGTCTTCCATTGCCAACCTTGCTGCAGACCTGACTAAAACTAGAGTGTTATAACTATCTTTTGTGAAGTAGGTTCCTCACAATGTGGTGTAATAATAAAGATATCATATATGAATGTTAACGAGTAGGTGGGATACAGCAGCTAAATCACGAAACTATAAAACATCTATGAATAATGAAGCAGTCTTCAACTTCGAAAATTTATCAGAGATAAGGGGAAGGCAGAATAACAAGCTCCTATATATTAAGTAATGGAATGAGCATTCACCTGGATGCTAGTATTATTGTAGTAAAAGGATATCTCAAAACCTCATATTGTGATTATTTTTCTGAAGATACAGATCCTGGATTTTCTGTGGATAATTGCATAAACTTAAGGGGCCACAAACCTGTCCTTTAACAATATATGGACGCCCCCAAACGGATTAAGATCTATAGCCTGCAATGGAAACATGGGTTTTTCATCATCAGTGCCTTTCTGCACCAATATCAGTGCTTCCAATATTTATACCGTGACTCCTTCATACCTAAATGCTAGGGAATAGGGAGGAGTGCAAGAAGTTTCCATAGTAACCAACATTTTAGATTCTAAGCCACTATATTAAGCGCCTCAACAAAAACTATAAGAGGTTTGAACATCTCCAAGAGACTCTAAATTCAAGATGCTCCATATTTTAGAGAGCCAATGCATAAAAATAAGTTCCAAAAGACTCAATATTTAATTTTAACTTTTTTAAAAGAGAGAATAGGTTTGGCTCTCCAAGTTTGGACTCCAAATTTCAATACTCTACTTCTTAAATTACTCATAATTGATTGGCCATTGACATAAAAAAAAATGTTATATAAAAGATGAGGAAAAATGTTTTTTTGAAAAAAGTAAAACGAAAAGCCAAAATAGAGAGCATTGTTCGGGTGTATAAAAAATTCCTCACTAAATTTAAAGATGCAATCTATTATGCATAAAATGTTTTTTAAAGAGTTTCTTGGAGATGCTCTAATGTGTGAACAAAAAATCGATTATACATGCAGCAATTCATAATACTAAAGCAGGTCAGCATAATAATGTACAAACATCTTCCTTTGTAGAAAAATCTCTAGCTTCGAAATATATTATCACAAACTCTGTTATAGAGATTACCGGCTGGCTTTCAAATACTTCTTTTGAATGCTCTTTAACAAACTGAGTGAAAGGTCTTAAATTTTTGTTTCATTTGGAAATTTCTCCATTCAGCATAAAGAATTGCAAAGGAAATAATTAAAACTTTCAGCTTTGCTAAGTTTTGTTTGCATCCATGTCAAAAATATTATCTTGATAAGATGTTAATCTCTTTATGGACCCAATTATGGTCTGTAATCACACTGTAATCTTGCAAGTTGCCATCCTTTAATAGCATCAAAGCAATATTTATTATTGTTAAAATCGTTTATCTGTACCTGTGACAGCAAATTACAGGCAATCGAGAAATTTCCGAGGCTCGTTTCATCCTCAGCTCTCTTCCTCAACGCCAATGCCTTCAAGCAATTTTCTGAACTACTATCGACCTCGCTACTATCAATCCCGCAAACTAACGACATCAAATTCGCGGCCTTGATGGGAGTCCCACAGTGCCCAAAAAACGCACCCTCAGGCAAAACGACGACGTTGGGGCCAGCCCCACATCGACCGAGGCACCCGCAAGATATCACAGAAGCATGTGGAGGCGCAATCCCTGAGAGCACTTGGAAAATTTCCAATGATCCTTGTTTCCTGCAAGTCCTGTTAGTACAAACCCGTATTTCTATTTTGCTCTTCTTTTCGTCTGAAGATGAAGATAATGCTTTAATTATTCTGCCATTAGCATGATTTGGCGTAAAATTAGCGGTAAAAAGGAGGAAAATTGGGGGAGAAAAGGGAGGAGAATTTGCAGTGTAAGGATTTGGCTTCATTTTTGCACTGTATTGGGGGTTCAACTCTATCAATACCACCGTTATCCATTAATCATAACAGTGTGAATAATCGAAATTGGCATATGATCACTTGGATCCAATTTTCATTTTGAAGTTAATAAAAATAAATAAATAAACAAATAGAAAATAATAATATTTTAATTTCATTTCGACTTGGTACTCGACACCCTCCATCCCATGGCCATCCACGAATAGAAGAACAATGGGTTAAATCCATTAATAACCACCCAACTTTATATTTAATATTATCATGATCATCCAATTTGATTTTGTTTCACCATAACCACTCAAATTTATATTTAACGCCATTATGACCACCTAATTTGATTTTATTTTATCATGAATATACAATTTCATATAACGTTTCATCATGATCACCCAATTTCTTTTCACAATTTTCATCAATTTTAAAAGAAGCAAAACGGTAACTTTACATTATATATATAAAATAATTTATTTTAAAAAATTAAAATCAAAATTTAGTTTAAAAAAATAAAACAAAAACTTATTTTAAAAAATGTTACTTAAAAAATAAAATAAAATAAAAAACTTAGTTTTTAAAAAAATGTTACTTAAAAAATAAAATAAAATAAAATAAAAAATTATTTTAAAAAAATTACTTAGAAAAATAAAATAAAAAATTATTTTAAAAAAAAATTCCTTAAATAAAAAACTTAAATAAACGTTATTAAAATAAATTAAAAACTTATTTTAAAATAAAGGTTTAAACTTTTTTTATTATATATATATAATGCAAAGTTATCGTTTTATCTCTTTTTAAAATTATTGAAAATGGTTAAAAGAAATTAGTGGTCATGATGAAATGTTATATTAAATTAGGTGGTTATAGTAAAATGGTTAAAAGAAATTAGTGGTCAGAACTCGCTGGAGTAGACTAGAAATCTTTTGGCAGGTTCATCGGATGTAAACTGTAAAGGCTTCCACAAAACTCTAAGGCCCTGTTTGATTGGCCAAATTTTTCAGGGAACTAGGAAATTTTTTTCCGTTTTCCATCTTTTGCGCTGTT